AATCCAAAAGGTCAAACGAGGTGGAAATTCAAAAACTTTAAGCCCGTTTTGTCGTTTCAAGAAATTAACCCCGCGCTCTGAAGCGGAAAAATCAAATAAGGATGAGCTTTCGGATGGCCTCACACTCGTTCGGTCCTTTCCTCTCTCCTTAATCTTATTCTCTCAAATTTCTCGCCTTTATACCAGACAACTGAGCCTAAAGAAAGTGAAAAAAGGGGTTCATTCCCCTGAGGGACATGAATCTTTAGTGTCAAGGATTGAGAGAGGTTCTCTGTTTTCAGGTGCTGGCTTTTCGTCCAATTGTTGTACTTAAAAGGATAGAAATACTGAAATAATGACAAAACAATCATTAATTGAAGTCGTGTTAGACTAGTGCTTCTCTGGGATTATGGTGTAAGTTTATGTTCTGGTGTCGGCCTGAACATGGTCGTGAGATTATGAATGGCTTACGACTTGTAAACGTGTAACTTTGTAACTTTGTAAACATGTAAACTTGTAAACTTGTAAACTCTTAGACTTGTACTAGTGTAAAGTAGTAAATTTGTACAGTTTTAAAGTTATAAAGCTGTAAATTTGTAAACTTGCAACTTGTAAACTTGTAAATTTGTTAACTCTTAAAACCTGTATAAGTGTAAACTTGTAAACTCATAAACTCGTAAACTTGTAAACTTGTAAACTATAAACCCTTTAACATTTAGACAATCAACTTGTAAACTTGTAAACTTGTAAACTATAAACCCTTTAACATTTAGACAATCAACTTGTAAACTTGTAAACTTGTAAACTGGTAATTCTTGAAAGCATTTTAACTTGTAAACTTGCCAAAGCTAAAAGTTTTAATTTGTATTATAGACTTGTAAACTTGCAAACTAACCCATGACCTGACCAAGCAAAACGGCTCTCAGCTGACAGTACAGACAATTTTCTTTCTGCCCACGACACCCACCGGTACCAGCGGAAGGAAAACGCAAAGAAGGTTTTAGTTTTGGTAAAAGTTTACGGCACTTGCAACACAATAAGGTCACATAAGTGCCGAAGATTAGAGGTGTTACAAGAG